GCCTGCTCCTCATTTTCTTTTCTCCACGGCATTTACATATTCAGGTAGCTCTGTGTTTTGTTTTGTTGTTTTTTTTTTAGGACATAAGCCAAACTGAATAAATAATTGAACATCCAACTCCGGACACTGATTCCATTTTAATGCTTTTCTTTATGCCAAAAATGTATTTATATAGAGTGCTCCCAATTTCTCCATTACACACCAACAAGGTTGTGGCAAAGGCAAAAACACAATGATAAAGGTCTGTGTCTTTATCTCATTATAAACCCATCTTATGATTTTGTCTCGCAGAGTTTTGAATCTAACCGAAGGCCAAAGTTTGTAAAAACTGGGGAATAGGAATGCATAGTTTTATCTCCCCGCATCAACTCAGATGCAAAAGCCTGTTTGTCCAGCTGTGCATGCAAACCTGCTGAACATTACGGGAAGTGGACAAAGACCATAATAAAATCCTGTCCGTACAGAGAGGCACCGCCTGCTGCTTTTATTTATTTGATTTTGTTTTGCATTTCACAAACTTGGACTGATCGAATGTCAGGCAAAAATCTACAAAATGTACCATGTGACATGTTCAGTCCCTCACAGTTTACAGCCATACCTCCAGTACTTTCCTTAAAAACTCACTATTGTTCTTCAAAAGAGACAGTTTAACCATTTTACATTTAAAGAAAAGTCCACCTACTTAAAAAGAGCTGGAGTCCTGTATCTATTTTTGGGCAACGGGCCTTTACTAGAGGCAGACTTTCTCTAATTCCAACGGTTATTAGTATGACTTGACATCTTTGTCTCAAATGGCAGATTGTAATCCCTTAAAACAAAACCTGGAACAGTGCACCGTAACGCTTGTGCCTCTCTCCACGCACTTTTGTGTTCAGTTGTGTCGTTTTTCTACTCCTCCACAATTTGCCTTGAGCGCTTTGCAATTCATGCAAATATTTCAGCATAGATTTCTCATAATGTGCCAGAGAGGTGGAGGAGTTACAAACGTGGTAGGCTGTTGCTGCACAGCCAAGACTTTAACATCTATAATGATTCTGATTTTAATCGGAAAAAAGTTTTTTTTTATCGTACATCTTACTGGTTGGACCCAGCGTGAGTCAAGATGAAGGAATCAAACCGTCACCTTAGGAGGGGTTCGTTAATTGAACAGGTTAGATGAGTTTGTCTTTGAGGATAGGCACGTTCTGATGACATAACAGGTCAGGTTGGCTCGCCTGTATTTATTTCTAGCCGCCTCTCTCTTGGCCTTTGTACAAAGCAATTGTTGTCAAGTTCTTGCTTTCATTTAAGGAAATATATTACGTTAACCTGACCATGCTGATACCCCCGTCTGCCGGAGGTGGCTAGCATAGGCTTGATTGGGTCCATTTTTAGCATCTCAGTGGCTAATGCCAGTTCCTACTCATTATTTGAAAAAGATTTACTCATTTCATTATTTCAAAATTTACAAATCACTGTACAAATTATTTTGTGGCACATAATAAACAAACTATATGTATAAACTTGAGTTCTGACGAAATTTGAGTTTACATTTTGTATTGCTTTTTCTATTTTCTCTGTTTCTTCCACAGGATTAACTCTTTTTGTTCTTTCTCTCTCTCTTTCTTCAGGACAGGAGAGCTTCAACTCTCGCTCCCTGGCCCTGCAGGCCCAGAAGAAGATCCTCAGCAAGATGGCGACCATGGCGGTGGCCAACATGCTGACGGACGACACCAGCAGCGAGATCCTGGACGAGCTCTACAAGGTGAGCCGGGAGTTCACCAAAAGCAAGAAGGAGGCCCACAAGATCATCAAGGACGTCATCAAGATCGCCCTGAAGATCGGCATCCTGTACCGCAACCACCAGTTCAGCCAGGACGAGCTGGACACGGTGGAGCGCTTCAAGAAGAAGACCAACCAGGCGGCCATGACGGCGGTGTCCTTCTACGAGGTGGAGTACACCTTCGACAGGAGTATTCTCTCAGAGCTCCTGCTGGAGTGCAGGGACCTGCTCCACACCCTGGTGGAGCAACACCTGACCCCGCGCTCCCACGCGCGCATCGACCACGTTTTCAATCATTTCGCCCGCGGGGAGTTCCTGGCCGAGCTGTACGGGGACGGAGAGGAGTACAGACTCTCCCTGAGGAAGATCTGCAACGGCCTCAACAAACTGCTGGACGAGGGAACGCTTTAACCCCCTCGCACTTCACCTTTTTCACCTAGTAGCTCTTTTTCTTCTCGCTCATCTTCTTGTCGGTCTCATTCTGTTTCCTTCACTCGCTCTCACCCCCCCAATGACATCTGCATCCTCTATCTTCTCGTTGCTCTCGTCTTCCTGTTTCTTCTGTGCATCCTGCTGCTGTGGTTCAATGAGGGATTTTTTTTTTTAGACTGTCCTTCCACTCAGTGGATCATTGCTGCGTACCAGGACACCCGTTTGACATTGTATGCATTATAAAGCCCCTTTGTGTGCAAAAGTGTACTGTACCAATGGCCAAAAAAAGCGTAAAGTAGGATGTTTGGAAATGGAGGGTAATCAGTCGTAGTTGTCGGTCTCCGAATGTGTGTGTGTGCACATTTGTCTGAATGGGATTTGCCTGAATAATCTGGTGTAGCGTTTGTACATAAGACCAACAATGCCACGGTGAGTGTGTTGTGTTTCTGAGTCAATCTCCTCAAGAAGAGTGTAACATCTATCTTTTATTAAAGATTTCTTTAAATCCAATTTGTGCAGTTCTTCTTACGGCTCCATATTAACAGGAAAATGCACAATGACTGATCTTGGTCCTATGACTAAAATGTCCTTTTTTTTTTACTTTCATTAGCCTTTCCACTCATTTGTTGCTGCTTAGTTCACCGGAACTGTTTTCAAAATTCCTTGCTCTGAGTCACAATCTGTGTTTGCCTCGAGGAAAAACGATAAAGTTTTCAATGAGTTGCCAACCGACATTATGAGACTTTATTTGAAGTCTGTTAATATACACATGCTGCTGAATACTAACACCGGATTGGCCGTGCTCCAGGTTTCTATCTTTAATAGCTGGTCCTGCTCAGAAAGGGGGAAATGATTGGTTCCTTAGATCAGTTATACATGAAATGCCAGCTGCTCACAGCCATGATTTTGAAACATCCGTTTGTCCAAAGCTCTTCAACGGTCGAGAAACTCGGACGTGCTGATGACAAAACCACAGAGACATAAGATTTGGAAAATAAGTCACAAATGATGCATGAAGCTGCTTCTCTCCTGTTCATTTGACCCATATGCACAGGCAAAGATTTACTGGCACCCGTTTTGAAATGAGCAGGAAAATGAGTGATTTCTGGATCATTAGATGCCCTCTGCTCTGCTCTGCTCTCCTCCTCGCTCCCGGAAAACGTATTACTGGTGGTTTGGTGAGACTCCAGTTGAATAATTTTGGCAGCCAGGAGAGGAGTCGTTCATTTTTATGTCTCTGTCTCATGTGAAAACACAGAACAGACAGACAATCCACTCTGAGAGCATCCATTTGCCCTCACACACACACACAAACACACACACATTCATACGCATATAAGTCAGTTATACAGATAAAGTGTATTTATCTTACTGGTCTGTGGCACTGATGTCATTACCCATTAGCTCAATTTACTTTCAATAAGCTCAGTTATAACTTATTGACTCCTACTTAATGAGACGGTCCGGATATAAGGGAGAGTAAAATATGTTGCAGACACAAGATCTGTTTCATAACAACGGCTGCTTTAATTTGCTTTTTGTTCATTACATAAAACCATGAGGGTGCAGTGAACTGTGAGACAGTCCTGGGTGTTATTCCTGCCTTTTTTATGGAGTTTCCCTGTTCTCTCTCTTCTTTTCTTAGCATTGCATTCCTCCCACAACTCACAGATAAACACCCCCCTGGGGTATTTGGGGCTTCTGAATTGGCTATGTGCTAACGTGAGCACGGATAGGTGTGAGTTTGGTAAGTTCAGATCACATGTCCGGGATAATAATGGTGCCAGCATGGGCCTCAGCTTCCCTCTGCAGCACAAAGCAGGTATTACTACAGGGTGGAAGGATGTGGAAACACGTCTGACTTCCAAAGTCATACATGTCGTTTAGGGCAGTGTTTTTCAACCTTTTTTGAGCCAAGGTACATTTTTTCATTGAAAAAATCACAAGGCACACCACCAACCAAAAATGTTAAACAAATCTGTAGCCGCCTATAGTAACACTATAGTTATTCTTATCTCATTCTTATCTTAAGTGTCTTGAATAGGAATCAAATAAACACAAAAATGTATTTTTATCGTATTTTATATTTCTTCTTTCAAATTGCACTTAACATGTCCACTCCAATATACAAAATTATATACGAAATTTAGTCATAAGGAATTATTACATGATTACGCCACCAGTCACTAGAACAGCACAGACACTCAGAAATGGAATATTATTTGCAGAAAATTAAGTCCTTATCAAAAAATCTTTTTAGACCAATTAGGTGAAATAGGATTATTTTCTACGGCACACCTGACCATCACTCGCGGCACACTAGTGTACCGAGGCACAGTGGTTGAAAAACACTGGTTTAGGGAAGTAAGCACTTTCTTCAGATTGGACAGAATCATTTTGGTCAAAAGTGTAAACAAGTGGTTTATGAAAAAGAATGAAGAAATAGCATGAATTATAATTGATGTGCTGCCGAGATATCTATACATCTACATGGTGCAAACCATGAGGAAATGATAGGGAGGCTATTTATTTCCAGTGAAAATATACAAAGTAGTTCGTTGTAATATTGTGGTTCCGTGCTCTTCCCAGTCATTTGAAACATGTTGTCACGAAGGTGGATCTCGGAGGGAGGACTCAGTCGCGGAGATATGAAGTTTGAAGGGTTTTATTTTAACAAAAACGCACTCAATGGAGTGGATGATCAGACATGGGTTCAAAACAAGGCTGTGAAAAATAAGAGCAAAGTAACAAAGCAAGGTTAACCGGACTATGAACACAAAGTATCAAATAAAGTAAACAAGGCTATGGTAAAGTATCAAATCAAGATTAACAAAACTGTGACAAAACATGGCTATGACAAAAACATGACTGTGGCAAAAACATGGCTATGGCAATAAGGAAAGCAAGGCTATGGCATGGCTGTGACAAAATTCGAACCTGACGTGGCGAGGGGTGACGAAAACAGAAAGACGAAAACGCACTGGCACAGGACATGGGAAACGAGGACTATTTAAACACATGAGGGAGGGGAACCCCAGGTGTACACAATAGGTAATCAACACATGACGAGACACCAGACATTCCCCCAGACGTGACACATGCAGTCAATCCCTGACACAGCAAGTCTTCAATAAGGGGGGTACATCTTTAGTCTTTGCAAAGTTTCTCCAACCACTAACTGTTTTTAACTAAGATCTAAAATGAGTAATAGAGACTTAGTTTATCAAATTTTGATTTCACTACTCGTTTATCATTGGGGGGTCAAACCTGGAGCAACACAGCCATGACTTTAACTCTCCATGGGGGTTGAGATAATGGAGCATTAGATACCACAAATTCCCAGACAGCAAATACTAATTCATTTTCTCAAACCAAAAGGACACAGACTCATGTCTTGTGAATGTTTTGTAACACAGGCTCTGTTCCAAGGCAAAAAATAACCTGTAAAAGTCTCCTGACGCCATTAACCATCAATGTTCTTTAACCGAATAATGCTTATATGAAAAAAATGTCTCAAACCAGCCACTGAAGTTTTCTATATGCACGCATGTAATCATTCATCAACGAAAAAAGCCGGGGGGCAAAAAAATACCCCTAAAGCTGCCACCAAACGATCAGAGGCTCAGAATAAGCAAGCAGTCATCCTAACTTAATGTCAGCTGATGAAAGAGAGGCTCAACTTTTTATAACACCCCTGTAAGGTCACATGTTGGATCTCCACTGCAGGACATGTGACCTTTGGAAACGTTCAGGAATGCCGGCTCATTTACTGCAACAGCCTACAGGTGGTAGTATATTTAAATAGTGCAACAAGCGCACCTTAAAAAGGTCACAATGATCCTTGTTTGGGCCCTGTAATCCAAATGTATGTGCAGTGGCATTTAACCCACAATTAAGCCTCAATAAGAGACACTGGCTCAGATTATCTCTACTTCCACAACTCCCTTTGTGTTACTTCACTGTGGAGAAAATTCAGTTATACTCAGGGTGAGTTTTTTAAAAAGCAAGACAGAGTGAACAGTAATACATAAGTTGCTCTTTTAAATGTTTTAATCAGCTTGATTTTATCTTGAAGCAACATTTTTCTGTCAGCGCTGCTGTTGAGAAAGGCAAAGAAGGAGAGCTTCAGATGGGATCTGTGCAGGCCTGCTGACCACAGATATGAATCTGACCAAAAGAAATAACTCTAACCACACAATCGTCTGTTTGTCCCAAATAACCACAGGGTTTTTTTTTTCTCCATTTTTATTGAGTAAATGAAGTGCTACACTGCATGCTGTCTAAAGAAAACTTCAAATAGATGGCACATCAAAAGCACCCGCTTCCCTGAGATTCCCTGAAACTGAGTCTTTGAGGTCCAAACTGAATTCCCCAGAGTCTCATATAAAGGCCAAAAACTCCTCTCCTCCCATCTCAGAGTTGTTCCCCAGAGAAATCCTCTGTTTGGACCTTATCTTAAAAGGGAGTTAGAGGGCATTTACAGAGAAACAGTAAAAGGCAAATAAATTCCATGTCAATGGCTCGCACCCCGCTATTTAAACACAAGCTCGGTCCACATGGACAAACAGCGACAATCACTGTTCTGTTTTTGAGTTTTGTTTGTCCCTACTTGCTTAAGTGTGCTGCAATTCAATTACATTTTTATCCTTTACTGAGCATCAAATCCTGTGTGTGAAGATGCGGTGATGTGATGTGATATTTCACAGTCTCCAAACACTCACACGCGTATGTGTGATAGTCCCAGCTTCTGTGTTGTAGCTGCCATGCATACACATGTTAGCACATCTTAAAATGATCAGACAAGAGGCAGCCTCGCTCAGGTTTTTGGTCCGATTAAATCCCAGTCTGACAAACACTCTGAAGCTCAGTTGTGACACCCTGTGGTTTTCTAAGGTTATATTTTTACCACTAAAATGTTCCCTAAAGGAGGGTTTTTTCAAACATGACATATATATATATATATATATATATATACACACATATATAAAGGAACATCTGGTTGCTTGATGTAGGTTGTAAAGAGTAATAACTGTGTAACCCCTTTGAATGGTGGAACCTGAAGCTGGATGATATCAAGTTTCAGGTTTTACTTTACTTTACTGTGTCTCAAAGTTTTCTTTCTGCACTTTGTGCACTTTTGAAATGAGTAAAGTAACCAGGAGTTCATTCCGAATAAGTTTTTTTTCTCTCCCAGGAAAACATTGCAGATGTATTGCCTCATAAAACTTGTTGGCAGTCCAATTATTTCCCCGTCTCTCTATGGAAAACATCAGCATGACGCCGCTTTGAAGGTATTCGGAACACCAAGTAGGAATGATCGTTTGCCATCCATCTTACGAGCAAATCATTACAGGTACTTTTTATATCTGTTTAACTGAATTGGATTAGAATGGACACAAATAAATGTGACAAATTATACAAAATGATAACCCCTGTACCAAAGGATTTCTGTGAAAGTTTAGTACCTGTTTTACAGTTTTTTTAAACTGTTCTTTTACATTTCAAGGTTTACATGTGAATGTCAATGTCAAATTTATTTATATAGCACTTTAAAACAGGCATAGAACTGCACCAAAGTGCTGTACAAGAGTGACTACAACACAAATGAATAAAAACAAAGTATCAAACACTAGTTCAAGTAAATGCCAAGGAATAAAAATTAGTTTTAAGAAGCATGCATGCATATATATTTGCACACATGTATTTTTTCTGCACCACTTATAATGTAATGATTAAGCTTAAAAGGACCTTTCTATTTATTTGAAATGATTCAAAATGGCTTTCTCACTGTGGCACATCAAAGCTACCCACAGAGAGGCAAACAGGCCTCCACCCATCCTTACTCCATCAAATAAAGTATGATCGAGCCCTGAGGCTGTGTGCTCAGTTCAAGCCACTAACCCCCCCACCCCCATTCACATTAATGGCTGTGGACCAGTTCGCTCTTTCAAACGATGATCACATGTGCTGAAGATAAAACTGTCCACCGGTTTGTCACAAGCAGACATGAGTCCGTTTGCAGAGACTGAGAAAATGACCTGACGCTGGACATCACACAGGACAAAGACCATATATAAATGTTGCACTTCAGTGAGTATTAAACAACTCTGACCCCTTTCCCTTTCAGTATAAATGGCACTTGGATCTCCTTACTCAGGAGGCACAATATGGAAGAGGAGTTGCTGGTGGCCTTCAACAGGGCAACCAGAGAGCCTCCTAACATCCTGCCTTCTGGTGTGAAAAACTCACTGCCCTGCTGCTTTTCAGAGAGTGAGGAAAACCACAGAGAAAACCACTGACTTCCGACTGTCCTTCCTGGAGGGAACCTGTTCCCCTCGACACATCGGCACAGCTACCCACACCATCCCCTCTTTGAGTTGCCGGCTAGGTTACTCACCTCCGACATTATTTTTTTTTGCCCTAACAGAAACACGTTAGGACAGAGCTTTGTCTACGTGTTCATGTTCTCAGGTCTGTGCTTATGATGTAATGACAACAGCATGGTGTGAATCTGGGTGTGAAATCTGTTTTACGAGGCGAGAGAGCAAAGATCCCTTCACTGTTCAGGCCGTGATGCATTAAGCCAACACAGGATGGCAGTATATTCAGTCTAATCAACACAGGTGTTCCAAATAATTGTCCTGAAACTGTCAAAAGGTGGAAATTGTTAAGTTAAGGCTTGTCTCAAGTAGGCTCATCAGTATAGCAGTAACTCTTAATTTTTCATTTATTTTACCGTTATTTCCATTGTCTTTTTTTTTGTCTTTTCTGAATAAAAAAATAGATAAATACTTGAACTGCATTAACCACAACACCAGGTGTCAGTAGCGTACTTTTTTATCAAACCAGACCCACACTGGAGCACAAAAACATATAATCAAACTCACATATGAGGATTAGAAGTAAAGTAAATGTAATGAAATAAGCATAAAGCAAATGATCCTCTCAATGCTGCTTCCAGAGAACTGCTTCATCTTCCTTGGAGGTTTCCATTAGTGACCCGGCCACGCTGAGTATCTGCTGGTCTACTTTAATCTCACATAAAGCTTTCTGGTGTTTGGCAAAGACTCCTGTCCTTTTTAGACTGCTGAGGCAAGCAGAGAGCAGGAAGTACGGCCATCCCACAGACGGTGGCATACATCCCATCCTGCACAGCTCACAAGCAGAGCAGCATTCCTCTTTTAATGCCTCTGCATGTTCACCAATGTCTGACAGTGGCTTGTGATGAAAGAAATGGTTTTAACCAATTTGGAGGAAACAAATGACATGATGCCAACAGAAAATTTAAGCTAGTGACACAGACATGAAGGATAAAGGATAATGTGGTGTATTGAGAATGGGACTTTGAGCCACCTTTAAGGTATTTTGGAGAACCAAGGGATGTAATATTATTAACCTGCGTCAGTGTTTTTTATTTTTCTCTTGAGAAGTGAGAGTGAATCAGTCATGCACCGTGTTTCACACCTTTATGTGGCTTACTGGATCCCTTTATGAGCAAAGATGAATGAAATATGAACTAAAATGCAATGAATTGCATTAACATTTCTTACTGTATATAGTGCATAGACTGTGTGAGTCTGGAATGGAATGTCTTTACTTTAAAAGCCTGACTTTTCCAACAATGTTGCTGCAGGCAACTGTTAGTAGGAAAAAGCAAAACACCTGATATTATTAGTTTGTCAAATTGAATACAAATGACTGTGGTGAAACAACTGATCTGAAAAAGGAACCATCCAATTACTGACCACCATGCACTCTCAGCTCTTGTAAATCTTTCATAAACCGGAGTGCTCACTGTTGCTGTGGTATCAAATCATATGACTAAATGCCTCTAATGATTTTGAATTAAGCTTGCTTAGAAGGCATCAATCATTCGCAAAAGAGTGCCAAGCATTCAATTTAAATTAGAAAAGACTAATGGAAAGACTAAATGTTTAAAAGCTGTTTAAAATTCAACGTAAAACCTGATGAATTATCTTTTTTTAGAGACAATCAGCCAGGCCCACATTAAAGTGACAGCAGGTTGAGATTATAAAAGCAAAGATGACCACTCATAAAACCGGGCCTACGTCTTCCCTTTGTTTAATTGCTTAATTGCCTTTTTCATTAAGATTGCTGTTGACTGGGCAGTGGAAGATCTACAAACGTGACGCAGATTGTCTGTGACGCACGGAATGGGCGTTTTTCTCCTCTCACAACGCTGCAAAAAATATCCAGCTTGGAGCTATTGGCCTCCCACACTGCTACATGGAGGGATGACTTATATGAAAATCATATACATCAGAGGCCTTATTGTTAAATTCTAAGGCATCCTTGCATTTTCCAGAACGTTTATTCCAAAACAGAATGGTTTATGATTTGATATTTTCATTATCTATATCGAAACGCATTCAGGCTTAAAGCGCTTACAAAGAAAGAGAAAAGTTTAGCTCTTTTCAGAATATGTTTCCATTGCATTCCCTGGTCAGAAATTGAGATACTCAATTGACAGACTCAATCCTGTAAAGCTTGGACTCTTCTTATAGTGTTCGCATCCTCCCCTCCCTCCCCTCCTCTTTGGTTTCAGAGGAGGCAGGTCTTGTTGTAGTGCGCTCTTATTACCGCCTCTCCTGGTGGTGTTGGAGCTCACACGGGGCTTGAGGAGCTTCCCTGACTTATCGGGCTTTAATTAGAGAGGTGACCTGGATTCAGCACCGCGGCGCGTCAACAGCTCCGGAGCGCAGCGGAGATTCGGCCGGCCCCTCCCCGCCCGGTAGGTCCCGCGGAGCGGCCACCGGGGCGCAGCCTTTCTCGGCACTTTCAGCACCAGCGGAGCTGTCCACACATTCAGCACTTCTTTATTTTTTACCTTCTCTTTCTTTCTCTTGAGGTGGTACCGGACGACAGACAGCCAGACAGCCGGGAGATAACGTCCTCCAGAGCTTTTTTTTTTAATTCCAGGATGGCGACAGCATATCTGGTCCGTTTCGTCCTCCTCTGTGTTCTTGCTCTGAATGTAGTGATCCAGATATCTGCCTTCCCCACACCTACAGCCTCCACGGATGGTGAGTTTGAATTCATTATGGCAAGTTAGTGCAAAGCATCTATAAGAAAACCGTTCTTTAAGAAAAAGGACAATTGTAAGTTGAAATGCACCTTAAATATTTTCCCAGAAAACCCAGAAACGCAGTATTCAGCACACCTTATGTTAAAGTTGAACAACAGAAAGTATATATATATGTTCTGCGCGTTCCTTTCTATAGTTTTTTTTCTCATTGGAATACCGATCTAAACGTGTTCACAAAGAGAAAGATCATCCAGCAAAAAGCAGTGGCTTTAAAGTTCAGCTCTGCTGGTGTTTTTTACTGCGTCCGGTCGCTTAAGGCCGCGGCTTGTCTATTTTCGCTCCAGTTTAATCTTTTGTTTGATAATCCGATTAAACTCGGCCTCTGGTGGAGAGTCAGGCCGGCAGAAATATCAGATTTTAACGCAATCTGAAATCTAAAGTGCAATAAAAACAACCAGATTTAAAATCAGAGCGTTTGAAAATAATAGTACCTCACCTAGAAGTGTGCCTTCAGATTGTTATTCACGCCTTGTTCATTTGTAATCTTCACATTTTGGCTTGCTCTGGGGCACAAGTTACATAAGCATTTTTTTTTTCTGTT